GGGCAGAATTGGTGTTGCCGTTCGAGCTCGCAGGAACAAGAGCGCCCGCCGCCGAGGACGACGACGAAGAAGAAGAGTTATTCCTATGGCGGCCGCTGCTCCCCGAATTTCCATTTGTAAGTGCCGTGTGGGAGGACCTTCCCGTCCGTTCTGGTGGTGGCGGGGGAGGAGGCGGCGGAGGGGTGGTGTTATCCGCCAGCCAGGTGCGAAACAGACTAACCGCCAGCCAGTCGAGATAATTCGTCCCTGGTGAAACCCTCTCCCCCGAAGATCGATTCGTCAGAGTGAGTCGGAACAACCTCGCCTCGATTCGGGACACCGTCTCCTCTAGCTCGTCGACCTTGTCTTCTATTATGTCTATTACCGTCTCCGGGAAGGCAGCCCTAATGGAGCGCTCGCCTGCGGGCCATTGACCGACAACGTGGACCAACGCTTCTTGAAAGATGACTTTTGACCTGGCGAGGTAGCCTAGCCGGAGGTAGGAGATGGGGTATTTTGCTATTTGCTTCCAGAGGCGGGATTGGAACTGGAGCATGTGGTGGTCGACCCGCGGGCCGACGACGGCGAGGGCGTCGTATTGGTCGGCAAGGTTGAGCAATGATTTGCATTGGATGTAGGCGTCTGCTATGTTGATCGGGTCGAGGGTGGGGGCGTAGTTGTACATGATCCTGAACAGGTTGTCGTAGTCGCGCAGGAGGTCTTCTTCGGCTGGTGTTGGTGGTGGGAGGGATGGCGCGTGGTTGCCGGATGACGACAGACTGAGGTTGGCGACAGATCGAAAGAAAGAGTGCGATGTTGATTTACTGCTGTGATGTCGGCTGGAGGAGTGTGAGGGTGGTGGTCCGCCAAAAAGCGAATTGGTCGTCGGGGGCGGGCCTCGCTCCTCCTTTTGCACCAGCATGGGAATATCGTCGCCCCCTGACCCAAAGTCTAATTCATATCTCCATCTCTTCTTCACCGGCGTCAGCGATGCAGACGATGGTTTCCCAACCGCACCTCCATCATGGCTCCCCACAATCCCTTGGTCCTCTATCCTTGTCAGCTGCTGCGACGCTCCTGCCGGCTTGACTCCCTCGATTGCGCCGGCAGTGGGAGGTGCTGGTAGCGACGGCGGAGTATTCTCGGGGACTGTTTGCGCTCGCGACCATTCATTGCTGGTGCTGATTTCGAAAAACCCAGAGCATCGGGTCAGGGTATGTCGGTGAAGGAGGTATCGATTCTCGTGGCCGGATGCGACACGCACCAGGATTTCGACATCGCCGCTGTGACTGAAGACGGGGAACTCATTCTGCGGAACGAACGAGGTGCCACCAGCATGAGACCGATTGTAGCGTCTCGAGCGCGACGAGACATGTGAAGCTGCCGCGCGGGGGGCGCCGGTCTCTCTCCTTCGGTCGCTTGCCTCCACGGCGGATGAGGTCCCCCGCAGTGCCAGGACCGTGGGCCCGTCGCCGTGATGCGACACCATGAATGCTGGCGGTGGTGTGCCAAAATCCCGGGTGTCTGTTGCTTCCCCCCTCCTTCCGCTTTGCTCGGTCTGCTGTTAATAGCTCGTGCGACGATAACAAAATGCTCTCCCGACTAGTATCCTTCTGATCCTGCTCCCCTGGCTGCCTCCGTCTAACGATGTCACTGTTATTGGTGTGAGCTCCTCTGACAGCTGGCACCTGGCCGGCAAACTTGGAGAGAGGTCGCACTAAGAGGGGTCGAAGCTGCAGGCAAGGCAGAGCGGGCAGTCTTCGAGGTTGTTGGGTGCGCGCGCGCTCAAGGTCAACGCTGCAAGGCAAAGCCAAAAAAAAACAAAACAAACGATAGAAAGAGGGGAGAAGGAGGTGAAAAAGCAGGCAATCCTACCCCTTGCTGACGATTGCGTGAGAGGGAAAAAAAAAGAGACAGGGGATGTGCCCAGGTGGTATCTTCCTGGGCTTGTGACTCTGTGGACTCGGCAGGTCGAGGCAGCGGAGTGAGGCAACGGCAAGGTTGCGAGGCGGTGTTTCTTGCTTTGCTTTCCCAGCCCACCAGGGCAGACCAGTCCCGCCCCGGTTGTCGACGGCGAACGAAAACTTGAGAGGGAAAATAAGAGCTGCTCTTTCGCAGACCTACGGGTTTCGCCACCACCAGGGGAATGGGTGAGTGGACAGCCAGCTCTAGGTCTTCTGCCGACCCCCAAGGCAAGCAAGCGATTGGTGGTGAGGTGACGGTCGACCTGACCTAGGTTGGCTGCCCTTGGTCTGTTGTTGCAGAAGGGATTGGTCCAGGATAACCATATGGGAAAAACCATAGAAGAAATAAAAGACAGGAAGGAGAAGATGAAACAAAGGAAAATCAAGAACAGGCTTCTGTTGTTGTTTACCTCACGTCGACACCCAGGTAGGTAGGGACCGGATAGGCAATGTCCGCATAGCTATCATGCAGGACGCGCCGTGTCCGCGTTCTATTATTTACCAAGTCCACCGCCGTTCGCAGCACATCGGTATGTTTGTGGCCTTTCTCGGGAGGTTGGACTCGATTGGATGCCTGCTCCCTGCTTAGTCGAGTTTGTGTCCCCAGATGCCACCATTTCCATATTCCCGTTGCGGTGCATGGTAAAGTTGGTCAGTAGCGTGAGACCAAACCTGCTGGGCTCACTCACCTGACTCCCGATTCCGGCACCTCGAGTGTTCGGGACGGAGCTGAAGTGGTTTGGTAGGACAAAGATAAGCAGAGACGAGGTTGTGTCCAGAATCCACCTCTGTCAACTCGATAGTTTGTCTTTGGTGTTGGCCTTTTCTACCCAAGAATCTGTCTTGTTCGGGGCCGGAGGGCCATCAATTGCCATCAGCTGTCGGCCAGATGCCCGCATGCTTTAGCAAAAGAAGGGATGGCACCGCACACCAAAAACTCAATCACCACCTGACATGCTCACTGACATAACCTCACACAAACCATCTGATGTCATCAAGACATGACTTGAGCGGGCCCTGTATGAGCCTGCAGCCTAATTCACGTTCACAAAGCTTCAAATCATAGTAGTAGTTTGATGGCAATTCAATTGCTTGCTAGTAATACACCTGATTGGTTAAAAACACATGGCTGAAGTGAAAATTGCCTTGAAATCCCCTGTTACCTTTTGAACCCCAGAACCCCTTGGAAATATGAGACGAATATGGTCGAAGAAATCGCATCGACGCCTGCCAGATTCAACGCCATGCCGCCCACGCAACACTTCACCAGAAGCTGCGCTCAAAAGAATCCCATCCCGCCAACGCCAAAGCCAACAGAAGACGGTGAGTCGCAAATATGTGTTTAGTTCATGTCAATCTCAATCGAGGTGACGGGGCTGATGTGTGTCGCAAAAGAGGCGGTGGGCTGCAGAGGCCTGGGTGATTCAGAGGCTTCCATGGTGGCTGGCCCGTCAAAGGTAGGGGGTGAGGTCTTGAGGTTTTGAAGGGCGCGATCAGCTGTGGTGCTGACAAGACGCCCCTGACGAAGGTTTTCGGCGAATAAAAAGTAACCTTCGGATGCTTCGACCAAGTATGATTGGAGGCCGCGGCTCTGGAGAAGAATCTTGGCGTTGGTGACAGGGTAATGATTGTCAATGAAGCGAGCCCAGCCTCGAGCAGCAGCTTGAATATGTTCGTCATCGCTGATCCGACTCCATCCAATGCCAAGATGAAGAGTGAAATCATCGACGATGGGCTGCCCAAGAGAGTCGGACGAACCCAGCAAGGGGCTGGAGGCGGCACGGGTAGGGCTGGCCCGTCTGCTAGGCGAACTGTCGTCCCGGCTCACTTCGAGGCGCTGAGATTTGTGACTTCTGAGAGAGGGTCTGGACTGAGACAGTTGCTGCTGAGCAAGAACCGCAGCTTCCATCTTGCGCGCTTCTTCTTTGGCGACCTGTTCCTCTACCCAAGTGCCAGATTGACTGCTGGCATCCGCGACGTAGGCAGAACTCTTCTTGATGAGAGTCATGCCAGGGCCGTAGACGTACTCCTCTTCTGGGGTCTTGATGACAGGAGCGTCAACCACCTTCTCGGGGGGGTCAAGATTGACAGCAGCCTCGTCCCTGGATCTCTTGCGACCGGCGACTGACGAAGGGCTGCGAGCGAAATAGGCATTGTTGAGAGACATGGCTTGGTGTTGTTGGACAAAAGGCTTGCCGAGCGAGCCCTGGTGAACTGCCTGTGGTGACATGGCGAGAACCGGCGATGAACCGTAGACGCGATCGAAAGACGGCATCTTGGGAATCTGTTGGATCACTAGAGGATGAGTGTGAGAAATGTAAGAAATGTGAGTTAGATGCGAATGAAGTGACACTGGTCAGATCAAGCGCGCCTCAGGTGCAGGTGCTGGTGCTGTGATGTTAGGAGTGGCTGTCAGGGGAAAGGTGGTGAAAAGTTTGAGGGAGGTAGGCAAGGTAGCGACGATGAAATTGGCCGGGGTGTACAAGACAATTGGCCAGGAGGAGTAGAGGTCAGAATATCCCAACCCAGAAAATAGGAATGGAATTGACCGCAGGTGAGGCGTTGAGGACGTTGGAAACGGAGGTGAAGTGGTGGAAAGGGTACGCGGGTAAGAGCCGGCAAGGTGGAAGCCAGGCACGCGACGGCGACGAGAATGTGGGAGCCGTGTGTAAGTGGGAGACGACGGCGTGGTTGGCGTGGATCAGGAAGGGTCGAGAAGTGGTCAAGTCAAAGATGGGAAGAAAGGAGGGAGGAGGTCACAAATATATGTGTGATGGGAAGGTTGGGGTGGAAGAGAGAAAAGAGAAGGAGGAAAGGAAGCAGGGCGCAAGGTAAGATCTGGGGGAAGAAGAAGCAGAAGAGGGCAGCGTGAGACATGCTTCGACCTGCGAGGCAGACAAAAAAGGCATTGGAGCTTGCAGGTGGGTGGATGCGCCGCAAGAGAAAGGGCTTTGTAACATCCCATTGGCCGGCCCCCAAAGAGCGGGTCTGGCCCACTGAGGCTCTTCTGATTGGGTCAAAATCGTTTGCAGCAAGCGGGCGGCGGCGGAAGATAGCTGGCCCGAATGTGGTTAGATCGGCTGTTGCCCCCTTGGTCGTTCCGCCCCCGCTGACTGTCCCCGCTCTCGGTGGTCCATGCTGCTTCTCGCCTGGTGAGCCCGGCAGATTCGGCGCTTTTCTGGTCAGTCCCGAGCACCGCCCGGACCCCCAACTCCTCGCCTAAAGATACACGCCCCAGGTCCTGACTCTGTCCACACTCCAATGGGCCAAGACACCAATCACTGCTCGTGAAACAGACCCTGATAGCTAGTGCCAACCCTTCCCCATTACACCCACGCCTCTTGTCACGTGCTACCAATGAGCTCGAGAACCACAATCGTTGTGACCATCCGCCGTCGTCTCGATCCTGTCTGCTTACCCTGCAGTGCCCAGCCACTGGCTGTGTCTGGATGCAGCATCAATTTATGCACTTTATGAACGGGAAGTATTGGTCTGTCTCTGAACTATTAGCCGTGGTGAAACAAGCAAAAACGCAGAGGCTGCTGCTCAGTGCTGGCGCAGCAAGGTCAAAGATCAGAGTGCGAGGTCAAAGCGAGTGTCTCTATGGTAATAATCATACAGCCGATATCAAACATGCTGGGTTGGTCTTGGCTAGAAACATAAAGCTCAACTAGACAAGTACGAGGACAGCGAGTACGAATAATCCCAAGTTTCCTTCCAACCGCCCTCTCCGCTCACTCCTCCTTTCCAGTTATCACAGGAAAGAGAAGCATGCTACCTGCTTGGCCCTGGACTGCCATCCATATGCTCCATGCTCCGCCGAATAGCCCGCTCAAACAAACTCACGTCATCAGCATTTTCAAGACCACCGTACAACCCCATCATGCCCGGCGTCTGTAATCCAGGCGGGCTTGGAATTCTTTCTTCTCGCTCACGTCTTCGTCGGCTGAGCCTTGAAAGCGAGTCAAATCCTGGAGACGTGCCACGGCGGGTTGGGACTGTGTAAGAGCCCCGCAATCGGCTCTGGTGCTGTGCTTCCGGCAAATTCTGGGGCGTTTGAGGTTGTGCCGAGGGCGGCAAAGAATCGTCGTAGATCTCAAAAGGCGGAGGAGACAATTGACGGCGTGGCGTCGTGGGTTCACCAGGGACGCTGTCCCGAGGTCGGATCCGATGGCGAGGAACCGTTGTGCTTGGTCGGCGAGGGGGACTCATTGAAGCACGGGGGTTGTTGTGTCTTCTGTCCGCATCATCCAACTGCGCTAGGGTCTAGAACAGGTGATCAGCATGGTCGAAAAGTATGATGAGACAAGAGTATGCCATACTCTGACAGCCCTTTGAACAATCGCCAGACGCTCAAAATCATGGGTGATGGGGGACGAAGGCCAGACTGTTGGCTCTACCAGCCGTCTATATGTTGCTGGACGGGACGGGTATGCCGGTCCTCGTTCTAGCGTCTGCTCTCTGTCAACTGGAGGTACACGGTCGGTATGGATACCCGGAGTTGAAGCAGATGATTGGCCGGGTGAACCTGTTGGAAGGGATGGGTAAGCGTCGACTGAGTGGTACTCTGCCACTTGATTATGTCTAGGAGTCGACAGTACTGGCTGTTGGGACGGAGAAGGCGGCTGCCCATCAAGTTCTAGCGGGTGATCAGCCTTTATATTAGGCCTAGGTTGGCCTTCAACTGTTCTGGTGCGGTCCGGCAGTGTGAAGGTGGCCCCTTGATTCTGCTGAGCAAGAACTGAACTGGATGGCTCCGTGTCTGTGGAACGCCTGGATTCTGGTCTGTTACCGGGGGGCAAGAACCGTATGTTTTGGTCAGTCTGTGGTTGTTTGCCGCGCGCTTTAGCAGAAGAAGCCGGGGGAACGCTTGGAACAAATTCTGGTATCGCGGATGCACCCCCTGGTTTTGTAAGATAGTTGAGGAACTGGCGGTGGTGTCTCTTCTCTTTCAGACGTTGATCAAGCTCCTCGACCTCGACCATGGTCAGTGAAAGAATAGTGGGCTGGAGACGCAGCATTGTAGGACTGATATGAAGACACTGGATTCTTCGGACGGGGTTGGGGACAGCATACAGATAAGATCCCGGATTCCTATGAATTTGAGACTGGACTGGGTACTGTTAAGGGCAGCGGAAAAGGTTGGTGGGAGGGAAAGCATGGCAAGTTTTGGTTCAAGGAAGTCAGAGCTGGCAAGCACTTCACAACGGTAGCTGCTTTGAGATCAGAGGCGATGGGAAGGAGCAGTCCTACAGACATGCAATGCTGGAAGTTTGACGGGTACATACATTGGAGGAAAAGGCGTCCAACCCCAGATACAGACATAGATGTTTACATTCGAGAGTTAAAAGAAAAAAACCGCTTAAGGTATGGCTGTATAGTCTTGCACATGGCAAGAGGTCAACACAACAGCTGCTGAGTTGAAGAGCCCTTTGGTCTCAATCTTGGAGCAAGTGTCCACATAGTACCGATATAGCAACCTTGAGATCTTGTGCCTACCTTACCTTGTATGATTTATTCTGAAATTTCTGACAAGAAGCTTTTAGCCTTAGAGCCAACAGTTTGCTAGCCACGTCGACTGGTGACGAATGCATGGTGGTCTGGTGTAGCGAACATCCAAGCTTCAAAGACACCAAAAATGTCGAACTATATGGTCACACTAGCATAAGTTACGAGCGCTACCACTTTGCTCTTGACTACTGTGACTCTCAGACACGTAAAATCCGTATTTCCTGGCTACGGTATGAAAGAACACCGATTTTCAATGAAATGCACCAAGTTTACGATATGGCTGGAACCTGCAAGGCATCTTCTTAGTGCTCTCAAGATAGGCATCAAAGTATCGCATCTTAGTCAGAGCCATAAAAGGGGCGCCTACGCACCGTTAGGTACCTGAACGCCCTTGCCAATTCTTACAAGTGGCCCCGGCTGCTTAGGCCGAGTCCACCGGGCCAGCCATCGAGGAGCGCCTCATTTTCAGCAGACATCGTCACCGCCCTCGGCCCTGAGAATTGCGCTTCAAGAACTCGCACCGGTACCGACAGTCAGCCGGACTTCCCAGATCAACGCCGTTTTCCTCATCGGAGCAAATCCCCGCCTCGGTGCCCGCTCTCCGGGAACTGCAAGAGCCAACGGCCAGCGCGTTGGATGCCCAAGAATCGGTAATTTGACGGGCCGGGATCTTGGATTTGGCAGCGGAAGTTAGGTCCATCAGATCACGCCCAGCCAGCCCAGCAAAGAGGCGCGAGGCGTCTCCGTCGCTCCATCTCGATACAAACGAGACACGCAGATAGTCCACGGCCAATCGTGGCCGCGTTGTCGAGATTACAAAATCTAGTTTTTATTCGCCGCCTTGCGGCACACTTGCGTTACCAGTTGCTGCTTCGAACCCCGACCGCATGCCCGCCGCCGCCAGCAATCCTACGTCGTCGCTCGCTCACCACCACCACCAACCCCCACCGCTGCCCGCCCGCTCCTTATTCTCTTCCGTTCCGGTGACGTCGCCTCTGTGTCCATCGGGGACACCATCCCACACACGAAGATGAATGGTGATCTGAGTTTGTCCCGGGCCCTGGGCGGTCTACGGATTGCCAATCCCGATGATTCCCCAAACCCCTCACGGGACGCATCGAACGACCCCCATGATTCCCCTGAGCCCCAGCAACAGCAAGAATACAGCTACCAGCAGCAACAACCACAGCAACACCATCAACAGCAACAATTACCAATGCCGAGCCCCCTAACTCCGGACACCGCAGAGCCTACACCTCCTCGCACTCCGCACGATACACTCGACTATCAATCGACGGCCAGGAACTCACCCTCCCGACCGCCGCACACGTACGAGTCTGCCGCCGCCATTCTCAAGACCGCGCAGAATAACTTGAACGCGGCCAGAGGCCTAGGCAACTCGGCTGCCTCGAGCGACCCATTCCTGGCGGAAAGATATGCAAACTATCAGTCTTCCAATGGAGGACGCTCGCCGGGTCCAGGTGTTATCGGAGGTCCAGCTGTGTCACCTGAGGCTGGGCCTGGGCATGGACCTGACCAGCAAGCAACACCCTATGCTGACCCGGGGAACGAGCCCAGATCTGACCAGCACAACCCAACTTATATCCCATCACGCGAGCCAAGTCGTTCCCGACGCCCGGCTCCAAGTCCCAGCCAGCCTGGGAACGGTATGATGCCCCCTAGGAGGAGCTCCCACGGCATGGGCACCACATACGCCCCCATCGCGGGTATTCCCCACGCGCCACCCGGGAGTTATGTGCAGGACATGCCGCCAATAGCCAGCAGTGAAGAATGGAAAGACAAAGGCGCCGCCGTCAGTCTCAGACGGGAGGTTGACGCCGAGGGAAGGACAGTGATCAAGTCTGTCAAGAAGGGAGTTAGGGACTTCTCGTTTGGCAGAATACTTGGTGAGGGGTCCTACAGCACCGTCTATTTCGCCACCGATCGCCAAACCCTGCGAGAGTACGCCATCAAGGTGCTGGAGAAGAAACACATCATCAAGGAGAAGAAGATCAAATACGTCAACATTGAAAAGAACACGCTCAACCGACTGACGGATCATCCGGGTATCGTTCGGCTTTACTATACGTTTCAGGACGAGGCGTCGCTCTACTATGTTTTGGACTTGTGCAATGGGGGAGAGTTGTTGGGTGTCCTCAAGAAGACGGGGACGTTCGACGTGGAGTGCACGAGGTTTTACGGCGCGCAGATTCTGGATGCCATTGCTTACATGCATTCGAGAGGTGTCATCCACCGCGACCTCAAACCCGAAAACGTGCTACTCGATGACCAGATGCATGTGAAAATTACCGACTTCGGCACCGCCAAGCTCTTACCAGACCCCCGCGAACCCAGGCCTCCAGAAGACTCTAACCAAGGTGGCATGTCTGATGGGCAAAAGGCCACCTCTTTTGTGGGCACGGCAGAGTATGTGAGTCCCGAGCTCTTGACAGATAAGTCTGCAGGGAAGCCCAGTGACTTGTGGGCGTTCGGGTGCATCATCTACCAGCTTCTCGTGGGCCGACCGCCCTTCAAGGGCGCTACCGAGTATTTGACGTTTCAAAGGATCGTCGCCTTGGACTACGAGTTTCCCCCCGGATTCCCACCCGCCGCGCGCGATCTGGTAGAGAGATGCTTGGTTCTTGATCCAAACCGCCGTCTCACGGTGGAACACATCAAGAACCACGAGTTCTTTGATGGACAGCAGTTCGGCAAGGAGCTGTGGAGGATGAAAGCCCCGCGTTTGAGGCCATATGTACCGCCTGCTCAAGAACCCAACATTATTCAACTCAATGGCGGGATGGGCGGGAGCCCCAAGAAGCCACAACCAGCTCAGTCGCGAAGTCCTCAAGGGCAATCGAATGGCCAGAGACCAGCCAGGATTATTACCGAGTTGCCACCGCCAACGCAGCTTGATATCGAATGGTCGCCAGTTCTGACTAGAAATAACGAACGGATATTGAAATTAGGCGACCTGATGGTGATATCCTCCCCAATTCCAAACAGCCCTCACGGGAGAGGCGAGGGCGATGGTCACAAGAAGCTGTCTCGCTTCTTTGGTGGCAGCACCACCAAGAAACGTCAACGGCTTGTCATGATCACGTCGAGCGGACGCATCGTGCTCTGCCCGGCTGGTGGTGAAGAGAAACGGTCGAAACAGGAGATCTCGCTTCTGGCACCAGACTGTGCGTGGAGAAGTCAGTTGGACGCCAAAGGGCAAATGGTTTGGTGTGTCGATACGGTAAGCTGATGATATTATCCTTTTTTTGGAAAAAAATGTTTGTGTGCTAACAACAGAATCAGAACGGTATCCATTATCAATTCGAGGAGCCAAAGTCGTCCCAGACTGAAGGGTCCAAATTTTCGGTAGACGATTGGATTGACTCGCTTCAGCGGGCAAAGGACCTTGCCCTCTCGCAGAACCTAAGCGGCGAGAATGGATTTGGTGACATGTCGTCCTCCATGTCGAGCCCAGCGAGCACAATGGGTGGTAGAACCACCTTCCCCGAGGGATACAGCATCAGCGACAGATCCGGGCGCAACCAGCTCAGCAAGAGCCAAGGCAGCTTGGAAGATCCGACACATGTGAAGCGCAACCGGTTCAGCAAGCGTCAGTCAAAGAATGGACTAGGGGCAGCTTTCTAGTTTCAATTGCCTTCACGACAAAACAGGACACCACGAGCAAAGCACAAGGCACAGCAACAGGATGTGAACTAAAGGGGACGAGTTTCGATATGGGATCAGCCTTCCCAAGGAATGGGATGGAGGAAACGACACAAGGAGGGCATTACATTATTATTACTACTACTACTCGTACTACACACCTTTAATAGGCATTTTTGGTAGCGTGGCGCAGGGTTACCTTGGAGCATCACCCTGTCGCCTGTCAGTGTACTTTTTGGCAAGGAATTGTAGGGGATTGACAGGAAAATTGTTTCGGAATTTAGAGGAGAGGCTGAATGTTTATTCGTATCGAGTATGTACAAGCTAATGAGGTATGTTCAAAAGGACGGGCAGCAGAGAGCTGTCACATTTTGTAGCGCTCAGACCAGCTTTGCTGTAATCTGTGCCAAGACATAGTGGAACCCCTTAGCCCAGCCAAGCCAGCAGTCGGCAGGAACGCCAGCGACTTTTCCACACCACAAACTCCACCAGACTTGGAGAAAGAGCAACGACGCGATTGACGCGCCTGCATCCGCCATTCAACGCAACGTGCAATCGACCATCGCTGTCGGACGATAGCGTCATTACACTCCAGACTGGGGAAGCGCCAATCGACCACAATGCAGTCCCAACCCCAATTCCGTCCCTACGCCACGCCTCACGGCCACCCTCCTCACGGAACACCACACCACGGCCATGGCAGCCACGGCGGGCATCCCGGCCCTCATGCACCCCCAAGGTCAGGAGCATCGCACCGCCGAGGCGGCATTGGTAAGTAGTGACTTCCATCGCTATGGATAGGGCAGGGCCTTCATCAGAGATCGCCTCCATGATGGTCCATCCAATTCTTTTCCCATCACCACCGAAGCCACCTCCTCACATGTCATGTCGGACATGACTCCATGACCACCCCCGGCCCCTCCATCCCCAACCCGCTCCGCTTTTTGCCTTGAGCCTGCTTGGGTTGGCCCTGGCTCTCGATAGTGCCCGGCCATTGGCATGGTGGAGCTTGACATTTAGGTTTCTTCCTCTACCTCACGTCCATCATCGCTTCTCCAGCCCAACAGCCGCAGCCCTCCCATACACGTTCTGCACTGTTATTCGCACACACACGCTCAATTCTGCGACCAGCATCATCACAAACTATCATTAGCTTCAAGATCTAACCCCTCGCTTCCATATACAGGCCCCATGATGTCGGCCGGCCCTCATCCCCAGGTGCCCATGACGGCGGCGCAAATCAATCAGCAGCATTACCAAGCTCAACAGGCCAACCAGCGCGCCAAGATCAGAAGCCGCAAGCCCACCGACAAGAACCTCCCAGATGGCATCGACGAGCTGCTCGTGGGTGGCCCTGACCTGGCAGTGGCCTATAGGCAGTTGCGTGACTTTGAACGCCGGCTTGATGCTACCATGACGCGCAAGAAGTTGGACATCATGGACTCACTGTCCCGCAACACCAAGGTAGGTCTGGCTGGTTCACTCAGCACAAGACATCATATCTGATTTGCTGGAAATTATAGCACCAGCGGAAACTGCGCATCTGGATCAACAACACGGTCGAGGATCAGTACTGGCAGGCGAGTGCATCCAGCATGGACAACTTTGAATTTTCTTCCACTTCCGAAGCCACCTATCGCGTTACTATCGAGGCCCGATTGCTCGACGACCCGCTCGATTTGGATAAGGACAAGGGCAATGGCGAGGACGACGCCGGCAAGGAAGCCGATGGCGAGAAGATGGACACCGACGACAAGCCGCAGCAAAAGCCTGCTCCCGCTAAGCCCGGCCAGCGGACGAGATTTGCGCACTTCTTTAAAGCTCTGACGGTTGAGCCTGACCGCCCGAAACCTGGAGCCCACGGAAATGAGACTATTGTCGAGTGGAAGAAGCCAGACAAGACGCCCTCAGGAGCACAGAACCTCCCCGCGATTGCCGACTTTGACGAATTCGCATTCAAGAGGCCTGGGGATGAGAACCTCAACATCACCATCAACTTGTTCAGACACGAAGAACCTGAGCGGTTTGCTGTGAGCCCGGAACTGGCCGACATCATTGATGAAACAGATGCCACCCTCAAGGAAGCAACCTTGGCCGTCTACGAATACATTAAGCTTTTCGGCCTGCAGGACGACGAAGAGACTCGCAACTTCCGATGTGACCAGTATCTCAAAAAGATTGTTGGCCGCGACATGGGCATGATTGGTCATCTCCCCGACTACATCACACCCCATTTGCGCCCGTTGCCCCCTATCAAACTTCCTTACACCATCCGCGTCGACGAGGAATTCCACAAGAACCCCACGCCTACTATTTACGACGTCACGGTTGCTGTGGATGACCCCATGCGCGCCAGGTACCTTTCCTTCTTGCACAACCCACAGCACGCCGGTATGTTGAAGGAAATCGCGCGCCTCGACGACCAGCTGGCAACCGTTTGCCAGGCGCTTCATGAGTCCAAAGCTCGGCACACCTTTTTCACGTCCATGGCCAACGACCCGGTTGGATTTGTCCGGACTTGGCTGTCGTCCCAGAAGAGGGACTTGGACATTATCCTTGGTGAATCGGCGAGGGGCAACGGGGAGAGCATACATGGTGATGAGTGGCGGAAGGGCGGCAGGGATAGCGTGTGGAATACGGCTAATGCGAGGGAGAGTGTGAATGTGCTGCTTTCTAGGCCGCCGTCGAGGCCACAGCAACGCTAGACGCCTACGGCTGCCACAACTCAGGAGGGGGACTTTGGGAAAAGGATCCAACCGTGATAGCAAGGCCAGGCCAGGAAAAGGGTGGGCAGGATGATGTCGAGAAGGAGCTTGAGCTTTTTATGGAGGAGTTTAGTTGAGGGTCATGAGGTATTTACATGTTTTTGTGATTGAATACCCAGGCGTTTTCATGTTTTCTTGGTCGGTGTGTTGATAGCACTTGTTATAGCGGAATTAGGTGACTTGGGTTGTGTTGTTTATGTTGTGGGTGATTTTGTTGAACTCGGTGAACTTCTTGGTGTGTTTGTAGGTGTTGAAGGGTCTATTGTTCAACATGACATGTGGATATATGGAAGGCGTGATGTCGCATGGCTATTACAACGAAGGCGGACTCTGGCTAGATATGAGAGACGAAACGGTGATCAAAACCTCTAGCAAACGTGGTCACCGACCAAGATGGATGAATATGAGAATTTTGTTTACGACCCCCTTCGATCTGGCGGGGACCCCCCTTCCCATTTCCATGTTTCCAACATTACGCCATACGTTAAGCTACATCAAAGATATCTAATTTTTACTACTTTTTTTGTAAAAATAAAAATAAGAAAACCAGATTTAAGGTAGAATAGCTTAAAAATAAGTGTAAATTACATTTTTGTTTCATTTTTCTTTTCGGTTAAAAAGAAAAGGAATATTTAGACTATATATGTTGGGCTTTCGGGAAAGCGATGCGAGTAACATCGAAACCACTTTGGAAGTCGGAACAAATTGTTGTATTTTTAGATTTTCTTTTCAGGGTTAGGGAGTTAGGTGGCTACAGGGGGGTCCCAAACGAAACTCTCATCAATATACCTGAGTCACGAAGAAGGGCAAGAGAAAGAACCAAAACAGAGGGCGTTGTTCATGACATGGCAGTTCATTCCATTCTACTTTCTAAAACACATACAGGAAACTCCCCTCTTACAAGAAACACAAAAAGACAGATGGATAGATGCAACTATTCTCCATCATTATTTGCTAACATCATTGAAACATTTGCCTCCCCTGGTATCTTTGCCCCCCCATTTCCACCGTTAACACCGCCATATCATCATCAATCATCAACCCCTTTAATACCGTTGATAACCCCCCCACTGAGGCGGCTGCTGCCCCGGATACCCCCCTCCCTGAGGCGGCGGCGGCGGATGCTGTCCAGGATAACCACCTCCATACTGCCCATGATGATGCGGCGGCGGGGGCTGCTGGTAACCACCCGGACCACCATAACCACCACCACCATACTGCGGCTGTTGCTGAGGCGGATATGCCCCCGACCCACCACCACCGCTATACCCCGGCTGAGGACTAGGCCTGCCATAAGACCCCCCACCACCACTCCCATACCCACTCGACCCCGGCCTCTGCCCATACCCACCACCAGACGACCCCGGCCGAGGCGAATACCGTGCATCAGCCTGCTGCTTCTTAACCTGCTCCCACAACGACCCCGCCGGACGGCCGTGACCATGATCACAACCGTTACCTCCGTGGCTAGGGGCTGAGACACTACGGGAACTACTGCTGGAATTGCTCGCGAGGATGTGGTTATGGTGGTTCTTGACCGATTCAGAAGACAAAATGGAGTTGAGCTCGTGCCTGTGCTTCGTCTCCTGCGTCCACTTGCGCACAGTCTCAAACATGTTGCGATGAATCTCAACCCGTTCGTCGCGGGCGGCTGGGTGGTGGAAGGCGCGGAGGATGTCGTTCAAAACTTCGTCGACGGGGACGCCGGGGTTTTCAAAGGCGTAGAGGATCCGGCTAATGGGACAAAGGTTAGTATAAGAGACAAAGGGAGAGGACGGGGGGGGGGGCTTTACGGAACGACATATTGAACTATTGTGACGGAAACACGCCCAGCGCACGAGTTGAGCACGTTGGTAAAATGGTCTTTTGACAGCATCGAGTGGGTGGGGTCGTTGCAGCGGGGGTTATTCCACGGCTCTAGCTGGGCGTTGGCGCTCGACTCGATAAGACCGGTCGACCCGTCCTTCAAGACCTTGGAGACCTGCTGGATGATGGGTCTGATGAACGGAGCGAGGAGCCCCAGGATGAACGCCGTCAGCGTCTCGCTGATTTTCTCCAAAAGAGACTCCAGCCCGGGGATCTTGGAGATCATATTGTTGATGGAGCGGACGATCTTGTCGCGGAACTCGAGGATGGGGTAGATCTGTCCCGAGACCTTGACGGGGTCAAAGTTGGGGCTCATGCCGGGGACTTGGTTGACGTTGTCGCGGGTGAGCTGTTGCATGTTTTGCTGCTCTTGGGCGGCCGAGGCGGCCTTGAGGCTTCTGGCCTGGGAGGCGAAGCCATCACCCACGCTGGGGAGCTGGCTGACGAGGGAGATGAAGTCGGGACCGGAGGAGCCGGAGCCCAGGAAGCCGCGCTGGCCGGAGGAGCTGTTGCTGTTTTGCTCGGCGGCTTTGAGGGCGATGTCGATCTCGTCGACTTCGGATTGGGTGAAGTGGTCGGTGGCCTCGCTGTGACACGTTGTTAGTAACCAGCTACATTTGTTGAGGGGGGCGGGAAGCTTACCCAAGCACAGAGTGCAAAAAGTCCACGGCTCCGAAAGTGCCGGTTACTAAGGGGTAGACTCTTTTGCCGTTAAGGTTGATCTGGGTAGAAGAACCGCAATGGGCAAACACATTGTGATAACCGAGCTCGATGAGGGCAAGCTCGCAGTAGTTGCTGTGAGCGCTGAAGTCTTCCATGCAGTGGAGAGCCTGGCCCAGACATCTGAGGGCCTCGCAGAGATCAGACTCCCTTCCCTTGTGGGTGGTACCACTTGTGTAGAGACGGCCAAAGTGGATGGCGCGGGCAATGCTCCATCTCAGATAACCAGCGCTGGTGGCCCAACCGCCGCTCTCGTTGGCGATGTAGTTCTTCATGCCAGTACGGGGATCGATTTCAAGTTCGCGGGGATCAACAGGCCCTCGGAGTCTGGTGTCATATTTGCGAGCATCCTGGTTGTCGGCGTAGTCCTTGGGGTTGTCAATATGCTCCTCAGGACGATAGCATCCCAGGCGCTCTTCGGTGACCTCGAATTCCTCGGTGGCATAGCCGTTGGCCATGAAGGAGAGGACCCAAACAATAATTCTGATGGTAGCGGCATTGACGCCCTTCAAACTGCCAACATCAACAGCTTGCGAATAGTCTCTCAGCCAGTTGCCAAAGTAGACACGGCCAACCATCATGGTGGTCCATTTTTTGCCATACAAGAAAGCGATGTCCTTGAGTGTGTCCTCGATATCTGTTGTGACGGTCAGTCATGATCACGCTTCGACAGACACAGCTTCACGTACCTCCATGTCTCCAGTTATGCCCCTCAACTTGGGCAATAGAGGGAATGTTCCCAGCACCAAACGCGGCGGCCTGACCGGGAAGAACGATAAGAATGACAGCAAGGACCAGCAGAGCGCTGCTCCAGCCTATCCTGAGTCCCGCCATTGTTCACCAAATCGAGATAGTATCCAGATTCTGTGGGTTGTCAGTTTTCTGTTGTTTGGAGCTCAGCTGATTTTGGCGCTTGTTTTTCTGTTGCACTTTGCGAATGCGCCCGCAGCTGGTGAAAATCCAGCCGGTCTTGCGCCTTTGCGTCACACACCAAACGGCGTGATTGGGCTTGAAATAGAACCCACTGACCTGGTTGGAGCCTTCAAACACTCGGTATATATTACCCTCAGAGTATCAGAGGAAGAGATGGTTGGTATAGCACACCTGGCGGCCTCTTGGGGTTGGGAGACTGAGCTGAACTTGGTAGGAAAATTGCCAAGCAGCAAGTAAAGAGCTCCGCCATGGATTCTTTACGTCAGATTCGAGGATTCAGAGCGAGAGCGAACGAACAAACCAAACGGCGTTGGTCACACCCTCACCTTGTCGCCAACCGCCGCACAGAAAGAGCCGTCAGATAGGCTAACGCCATTGCGGACCGTTGGCTCTTTATTTGGTACACTACTCAGATTAAAACCATTTTGCCATACTCATCATACCCAGGAATCCCATATTTCCATCTGTCTTGCAAAACAATCACGGTCAGAAAACACCCTTCAGCTGCTTTTTCCTACCACACAAGGAGGGGCAACCAAGCATATGCCCCGCCATCTTGGCCGAGTTCGAGTTCGTGCCAAGAGATTGAAACGTGCCGTCATACCCGGATAACTGAACGAACTGGTTGGAAGACTTGGGTAGCTGCATATTTTGCAAACGGGGCACAGCCTTATACAGTTACACGCAACGGTCCCCTTGCAGCGGTCTGTTTCGCACCGTGTGTGGTTCCCCCATCCAGCCTTCCATCAGTTCTCGACAGTGACTCGACAGTCGACTGATCCCGGGACCAGAATTTGGGTCATTTTAATGCTTCAACATGTGCTCTCAGCGGACTTGAAAGGACCCGAAGACTCCGGATCAGCCGTTTTCCCCCAGCCTCCAGGGCTGCTTGGCGGCATTACAGTACCGGTTGTAACGCCACTGTCATCCGATGGCCGATGGGATTTAGCAGCAGCGCGTGTGCATTCGACTGCCATTCGCGTCTTTTGATTAGTGTGACCCCTGAACTGAAAAAAAAAGGTCATCCACCAATCCGCGACGAACGACAGCGCTGGGCCCCTTGCATTATCTGTTCCTTTGCATGACCTTTTTGTCCCCTGTGATCTTTCCTCTGTCTAATTCCCAAACCTCGACATCTTTGTTTGCTTCACTTCATCGTTTTTGGCTTTGCCCATTCTTGCCCAAGGCCGGTGTCGCTCGATACTCTAGCCTCGCCGTTGTCACCAAGCGAAGACCCCATAGAGTCGTGTTCTAGCAGCCCCGAGAAGCCCGAACCTCGTCGTTACCCCGGTCTCTTTTTTCAGTTACTAGAGAATAACAACAACGACCACACAAAAAAACACCACAACCTCACCGTCAACATGCCCGGTCGAACACTACCGACCTTTACCCTCGCCGAGGTCGAGTCGCACAATACCAAAAAGTCGTGCTACGTGACGGTCGGGAAGAATGTCTACGATGTGACTGACTTTGTCGACGCCCACCCTGGAGGCGGTGACCTGGTCCTCGACTACGCTGGCAAGGACATCACCGATATCCTCAAAGACGAGGCGTCACATGCGCACTCCGAGGCGGCATACGAGGTTCTCGACGACTCTCTGGTTGGGTTTCTGGAAGATGCCTCCAACGGCGCGAGCGCAAACGGCAAGGCAAAGGCGAATGGACAGGCCAACGGCACCTATGTGCATCCCCGAACGGGTATGTCCTGTGAGGAGGATCTCAGCAAGGATACCGACATTACCAGTGACTACAAGACACACAAGTTCTTGGACCTGAGCAGACCACTCTTTCCCCAAGTGTGGTTCGGTGGCTTCAGCAAGGAGTTTTACCTCGACCAGGTCCATAGACCACGCCACTACAAGGGCGGTGCTTCTGCGCCACTCTTTGGCAACTTCCTTGAGCCTCTGAGCAAGACGCCTTGGTGGTTGATTCCTGTGTTCTGGCTTCCGCCTGTTACTTATGGCCTCTACCTTGCCAGCAGCGGGCTGACTGCTGTGGGAGAGGTGGCCTGTTTCATTGGAGGCCTGGGTTTCTGGTCCATCGCCGAGTACACTCTGCACAGATTCTTGTTTCATCTTGATGAGTAAGTTTTCTTCCACACTGCCTTTGAAAACATTCAACTGACATGATTGTCCAGATGGCTGCCCGACAATCGTGTCGGCATCACCCTGCATTTTACCCTCCATGGCATCCACCACTACCTGCCCATGGACAAGTACCGGCTGGTCATGCCCCCGGCACTTTTCGCCGTGCTTGCTACTCCCTTCTGGAAGTTGGCACACACCATCTTCTACTGGGATTGGAACGTGGCTACTGCGGTCTATTGCGGTGGCATCTTCGGGTACATCTGCTACGACTTGACGCACTACTTCCTGCACCATCAGAACCTTCCTCTCTGGTACAAGCAGCTGAAGAAGTTGCACTTGGAGCACCACTTCCTTGACTACGAGAACGGCTTCGGCGTCACCAGCCCCTTCTGGGACAAGGTCTTTGGCACCGAGCTCAGGGGCGCCAAGCCCGGCAAGAAGAGCAACTGAGACCCTTTGCAAGGGCTTTTTTACATGGCTGAATGACAGATGAGGAAGATGAGGCATGACAGACACGCACAAAGGAAATGGGCATACCCAGTTGGATTGTGCTGTACATACATTTGTAAACAACCATATATTTTGTAATAGCAAGGCCTGGCATAACATACAGTTCTATAACAACTCTGCCAGGCCGTGATGCATTAATGGCGGAAGGAGTCACCGGGAAGGGAGGCTTTGGGTATAATTCATGTCTGGGTGGTTCATCGGGGGACGGGGGGTTCACGACTAGGGATTGGAGGTCGGCGGTGGGATTAGGCTTCGCTGCTCATGGTAGACAGAAGTCACTTAATTGGTGTCACATTCATTGTAGAATACCCTAATAACTGCCGCTTGTACAACATGCGCTCTGCTCCAACCAAGTGAATTTTCAGGCTCTTATCGCTCCTTATCGGATGGCATAGACTCGCTCCACAAACACCGTGTGGATACAGTGAATTGCACGTGACGGGTTGTTCAATTCTGGCCCCTCAAATCACTTCTGGTCAGCCAACTCGGTCACAATTTGCCAGTCCCAACCAACCGACCTCCATCACAAGCAACCAATTCACTTGGTTGAGTGTCCCATTTGCAAGCCTTTTGTACCCAGATCCGAGAGACCTCCTGTGTGGTTTGACATCCAGAACGGAGAAAAATATTTTACAGCTTGATTGCCTGACCATTTCCCTCCTCAGCCAACATGTCGGGCCTTGACGTAGAGGCACTGCTCGACTCGACTGCCTCCACCATCAAGGAGCAGCAGAACACCAAATCCACGGCCAATGGCGACTCCCCGCAGGATGGCAGCCGCAGCGAACGCCGAGAAAACGATCGGGACCGCGATGGCGGCAGAGATAGGGAACCCCGCGATAGGAAGCGCAGAGATCGCGACCGTAGTGCCGGCCGCCATCGCGCTTCGTCCAGCGGCAGAGACACTCCCAGAAGCGACGCTGGCAGCCATAAGAGTAGGCGCCGTAGCCGAAGCCGTGATTCGAACCGCCGAGACTCACGTCGTCACAGAGATGGCGACTACTATCGCGGAAGCCGCCGTGGTGGCCGCTCCCGTTCCCGCTCCCCCAACCGCTACTACCGACCTCATGGAGACGACCGCCGCGACCGCGATCGCCCCAGAGACGATGACCGCCGTCGCCATCGTGATGATGACAGGCGCGGTGGCCGGACCAGCACTCCCCGCGACTCGCCCCCTCCCCTCACCGAGGACGAGCGCGATCGTCGCACCGTTTTCGTTCAACAGCTCGCTGCCCGTCTCCGCACCAAGGAGTTGAAGGAGTTTTTCGAGAAGGTTGGCCCCGTTGCTGAAGCACAGATCGTGAAGGACCGTGTGAGCAACCGCTCGAAGGGGTAAGTTTTGCTCACCCTGACATATCCCCCATGGTTGACCAAATTGCTAATACGCTGGTTGTCATCAGAGTTGGTTATGTCGAGTTCAAGAACGAAGATTCCGTTCAGGCCGCGTTGCAGCTTACAGGTCAAAAGCTCCTAGGTATTCCCGTCATCGTGCAGCTCACCGAAGCTGAGAAGAACCGACAAGTCCGCAACCCGGATGCCACCGGCAACCACCCCAACTCCATCCCTTTCCATCGTCTCTATGTTGGCAATATCCACTTCAGCATCACCGAGCAGGATTTGCAGAATGTATTCGAGCCCTTTGGCGAACTCGAATTCGTCCAGTTGCAGAAAGACGACACTGGAAGGAGTCGAGGCTATGGATTTGTTCAGTACGTACCTGTCTTATATGATGGTGTCTGAAGCCTGTACAGGTAGCTAACCTCGGGCAGATTCCGCGATGCTACTCAGGCCCGCGAGGCGCTCGAGAAGATGAACGGGTTTGACCTTGCTGGTCGTCCGATTCGCGTGGGACTTGGAAACGATAAGTTTACCCCCGAATCAACCGCCAACCTGCTGCAGAGATTCCAGGGCCAGAACCAACAGTTCCAGGGATCCTCGTTTTCTGGTGCCGGTGGCCGAGGCCCCCCGACATCGAATTTTGACCGTGCTGGTGCTAGGGACAACGAGAAGGGCACGGGCGCAAGTGCCTTGGACGACACCGACGTTGCCGGAGTCAACTTTAACAACTACAGCCGCGATGCCCTCATGAGGAAGCTGGCCCGAACTGACGAGCCTATCAGCGCCCCCAGTGATCGACAGGTCGCCAAGCCCAAGACTGAGATCAAGCCCAATCTCCCCATCAACGTCAACATGGCCAGCCGCTGTGTGGTTCTCCGCAACATGTTTGATCCTGCCGAGTATGTTATTCTTTCATTTCCAGCTGTCAGAGACTACCTACTAACACCCAGCAGGCAAGAAGGCGAGGACTGGGCCAAGGAGCTGGAGGAAGAGGTTCGTCAGGAGGCTGAGGAGAAGTATGGGCACGTTGTCCACATTTCCCTCGATCCCAACTCTCCCGGCGACATCTACTTGAAATTTGACAAGGTCCAGGGCGGGGAGAATGCGATCAAGGGTCTGAACGGCCGGTACTTTGACGGAAGAATGATCACGGCTGCGCCTGTTGTAGACGCGGTCTACAGCAGTTTGTTCTCTCGCGTCAAGGCCATCTAAGTCACTAATACGGCATATTTGTTGCCTGCTTAGGAACCCTCCTCGGTATGTTTACCTACTTCTTGTCCTTTTGTAGCTTTCCCTAACGAGTCAAGAATAGACCACACGTACTGCCCGGGCTTACTGCACTGATTGCATGTCCCATCATCTCACCTTTTCTCCAGACAATATCACCTTTTCGACAACCCCAGTTTAATACCGCCGCCATTGCCTTTTGTTCGGGTAGAGAGAGCTTGTCGATAACCACACTGATATTTCGTCACAGAACGGACCCTTCTTTCGACTACACCACCTACTACATCTGTTTCTGTAACCCCCCCTCGGTTCCCTGTCTGACAAGGAGCTCGGGTCTTGTTTTCATCATAAAAAAGTCTTGTGTATGGCGCAACGGCGTTGCTGATATTGTACAGTACCTAGGCAGATACAGAACTCAGCGAAGCAGAATATGCACTTGAGTATATTGTTTGTCTCTTGAGTTATTCTAATTCAGGTAGTAAAATTCGGAATACATGATGATTCCATATCTCCCAAAGTCCAGACAATTCCATCAAAAATGTTATGCAGACCACGTTAAACCCGTTCTGGAAAAGCGCGCTCGATCTCCCAAAAGCTTGATCCTTGCCCCGCGGACTCCCCGCCCCGCATGTCACATGGCTGCTACAGCAACGCGCAAAAGCCGTAAGGGCAGCCAATCAGAAGCTGCAGCAGTGTTTACCTAAAAACGCGATCATTTGGGTTTGAGAGATGTCGGATGCAGGAAGGGGAATTGCCAGGATGAGATCACTTTGGCCTGTCACGTCTTGCATGTTCCCAAGGCACAACGTCGCGCATTCATACTCCATACTACACAGGCATTCCCAAAAATACCTTTACAGCAAAGAATCACAATTCGAGAATCACCATCTTTTTCCGCGACATTGTCACCGCCGCATGATTAATCGCAAACGGCGCAATATTACCAACACTTTTCAAGACGGCCGAATGCTATTTCAGAATACCCCGCCGTTTACACGCTGAGCTCTTGGAGATTCCCACACGACTTTTTCTCTCCCATCTGATCTCCAGGGACCCCACGCCTTCATGATCATTCTAGGACAAAAACCATACGCACAAACAAAAACAACCTTCATCCCAACCCACGCCCATCCCAATCCCCATTTCCCCATCCCCGTCAGCCATGGGGCACGCCTGGTTGGACTCCCTCTCGGAGGATTGGGTGTCGCAACCGGGATCGGACGCGTCCGTGGCCGACCCCCATTCCTCCGCACCTTCCCCCGACGCGCAACGGAAAGCCAAAGAGTCGACGACGACGACGCCGAGCCGAATCCCCCGACTGAGCAGGAAGAACCTCGACAACGCCGCGAACAGCAACAACATCCTCGGCGAGCGAAGTGTTAACCACAGTCCCCGCCGCACCTCGTCGAAGCTGTCGCAAGAGCTCAAGTCTAGTAACGGGCGGAGCACGGCCGACAGCCGCTCCTCCTTCTCCTCTGGTCGTTCGAATTCCCTCTCGACGGTCGGGTCGGTGGTTCAGCACAAGTCGGTAGCGTCGGTCAACAACAGGCGGGGGTCGACTCCGGAGTGGAAGAGACGGTTGGTGTATGGGGATTTGTCGTATGGGGAGCGGGCGGATTTGTTTACTTCTGCGGGGAAGGGGCTGGAGAATATTTTCAAGCCGCCTACGACGGGGAATGCCAGCAGGGAGGAGTCGTTTGAGCCGAGGTCTTCGCGGTTTACGCTGCCGTCTAGTCCGCCGGTGTATCAGCGGGATTTGTTGTCGTCGACTGTTGAGACACAGGCGGAGGAGTCTGTTCAGGAGTTGCCGGAACACCCTGGAGCAGTGGGGAGGAGATCACAAATACCTACTACTGCGAGGCAGAGGCGAATGGAGGACTCGTTCGATCAGAGTAGGGATTCGGAGAATAGCATGTTACCTGATAGCTGCACGCAGCAGGCCACGACGACTGCGCAGACGGATGTTTCGAACCAGAACTCGTTGGTGGTGGACTCGAGGAAGGTCAGCGGCAGGAGCGACGTGAGGAATGAGGATTTTAGCCCGATCCTGATAGAACGGCGCCAGGCTAGCAATGGGAAGACGGTGTTTGGGCCTGCGGAATTACCGCCTGAGGAGCTGCGAAAGCGGTTGGAGAAGTTGAGACAGAACCAACGCTTTCTCACGGGGGGTACGGATGAGGAGGACGAGGCGGATGGCCAGTCAGACGGGAATGGGAAGTCAAAGAATGGTACTACTAGCACGAGGGAGTTTGAGAGACAGGGCGGGTACATCAACTTCCAGCGCGGTGGCCGGTCGGCGGAGGGGTCTTTTTGGCATCACCGGCTGAGTTCGGGGCATGATGCTTCGGAATTCTGCCCGGAGGAGTCGCTCCAGGCCAGCACGCCGAAGCAATTCCCTACCGTGAGGGTAGAGCCGTGGGATGAATCGGCTGAAATCCCGGTTGACAGTCCTCAGTATCCTTCTGCTCCTAACCCAAGCCCGCAAAAGGCGCAGAGGTTACTTCCTGTGCCGCCACCTAGCACTGCGAGTCCGTTGAAACTGTTTCAGCCGTATGACACGTTTACCAACCAGACGCTGCTGAGGAGACTGAGCCAGTTTCAGGCGGAGCCATCGGCGAGTGACAATTCTTTTGCGATTGCGCAGGACCAGAACAGGGTCAGCAGGTTTGGCGAGGGGGAGCTGGACGGGTACGAGTTCCAAGACGAGTTTTCGCACGTTGGGGGGGCGGATGCATCGGGACTAGAGGCGGACAAGGAGAACAGGGGTCCTGCTAGCCCTGGTCTTGACGAGGATGATCAAGACAACAATGGCTCCACCCACCACCGCGCGTCGTCGCGTCCGCCCATTTTTGGCGACTTTACTAGCCACGATGATGAGAGCTCGCCTTGGGAGATTGAGGATGATTTGTTGAGGATTTCGAGGAGAAGAAGGCAAAAGTCGGCGACGACGACGGTGAATTCGGCTTATTCTACTACTACTACTACTACTGCTGCTACTGCTACTACGCGACGGAGTGTTTTTTCGGGCGCGGGGGAGTTGTACAGTGGCGGGAGTAGGAGATACAAGAGGAGTAAGAGGACGTCGTTTCCTTTTGGTGGTGGTGATAGCAGGATCTCCACTCCCAGGCGGAGAAGAGACGTTAGTACTACAGGGACAGGGGGGGGACTGTTGTCGGAAATTAAACGTCCTAGGACGTCGCCATCGAAGGATCCGACGCCCAAGAGGAGGAGGACGCTGCACAAGTCTGATGTTTCTTATGGGACGTATGATGACGACGATTCTTCTGCTGCAGATTCTACCGCGGGAGTTGACGCGGTGCAAATGAGTCATCAACAGATGCAGGAGGCGATACTGAGGCATCAGCAGAGGAGGGAGGCGCGGGCGGCTAGTCAGGAGCAGAAACAGCAGCAGTTATCGGAGGAGGAGGAGGAGGAGGAGGAGGAGGAGGAGGATGAATGATCCAGCACTGGAACGAGCAGCCGTAAGAAACATTGAGCTCCGCGTAAGTCGGTTAGAACGTTATTTTTTGCCAGAGCTTTTGAACTTTTTATAGGCAGATACAATTTCTTATGTTCGACGGGAGTTTTGTCATATTCCAGCCCGACCCCCTTTTGCGTTCGCTCCTACCCAAACTACATCCTCGACGAGGAACGGTTTTCCCAT